TTCATACAAATGTAATACTTTAATATTATAAGAAGAAAAACAGCTAAAATATCTGTCGTGACAGAAAAAAAATTTTGTTAACGTTTTTCTTGAATTTTCTTGTGCAATTAGTACTCTCTAAAAGTTGATCATTTATAAAAATGTGTGGGTTGAAAAAATATGAAAATGCAATTATTTTTAAGAAAAACGTATACCTAATATCTTAAAGTGGTATTTTAAGTTTAATTAACCTTACAATAATTATTTTTTCAGAATTATAAACTTTAAACTGGTTTTTCTCAGTTTGTGTTTTTCGAAACCTTAGTGCATTCAAAATGCTACTCCTTCGACAATTATTTACCAATCACCTCCATTTTTTCCCTGCGTGTTAAAAATAAAGCATGTAATAAAATTAGGGATCCGTTTTGCTATAAACTGAACACTTTTTTTTAAAAAAAATGTAAAACATGTTGGCTTTTTCGTTGATTTTTAGCCTGTATATCAACATTTTATTTTTTTTCTCGAAAATGAATGAAGTTATTCTAAAATCGATCCCTGAAGTTGTTTATAACATCCATAAGAATATTATAAAAAAATTTCAGGTCAAAAAATTAATTTTTACAAAAGGAGTAGGATTTTAAAATTTTCCCAATTTTCTTCAAAAAATTTTAATTTTTAAAATTTTGTGAATAATATATGAAAATGTTCATCTGGTATCATTTTCTTGAATAGAAACATTGTATAAAATGCTAAAATATAATGTTTAAATACGTAAATAAAGAAAGTTGCTCAAAGGGTACCGAGTCCTCTTAAAAAAATCCCATTATTGAATATAATGTGTGTGAATTGTATTCCCACAAGAAAAAACAAACCTTGGTGTCTGTATTTGGCATTCATGAGGAATAAAATTAACAAAAATATAAATAAAAAGAAATTGTTTTCCCTTTTTTTTCATTTTAAGAAGAATAATAAATTTATAATAACATAAGAATTCCATATTTTCTCTTTCAATTCAGAAAAAATTTTGGACAAAGAGGAAGAAAGAATGAAAAATAAATAAATAAAAAGACTCAGAAAAATATTTATCAAATCATAAATAAGATTTGTCACCTATATACTTTCCCACAAAAGCACGCTATCGAACAATCATTAGTTTACTAATTTTTTAGACTAATCAAAAATTCTACCATAAATTACATGATGCATTTTTTTTTAAGATAAAATTTTTTTTTCTAATAAAATATGAATTTTAACTATTTTTTTTATTTATAATTTTTTTTTTTCTAACAAAATATGAAAGTAGCTATTTTTTTTAGATTTACAATTTTAACTATTTTTTATTTATAATTTTTTTCTAATAAAATATGAAAGTAGCTATTTTTTTTAGATTTACAATTTTAACTATTTTTTTATTTATAATTTTTTTCTAATAAAATATGAAAGTAGCTATTTTTTTTAGATTTACAATTTTAACTATTTTTTTTTTTATAATTTTTTCTAACAAAATATGAAAGTAGCTATTTTTTTTAGATTTACAATTTTAACTATTTTTTATTTATGATTTTTTTCTAACAAAATATGAAAGTAGCTATTTTTTTAGATTTACAATTTTAACTATTTTTTATTTATATTTTTTTCTAATAAAATATGAAAGTAGCTATTTTTTTTTAGATTTACAATTTTAACTATTTTTTTATTTATATTTTTTTCTAATAAAATATGAAAGTAGCTATTTTTTTTAGATTTACAATTTTAACTATTTTTACTATTTTTTTTTTTTTATTTATAATATTTTTTTTTTCTAATAAAATTTTTTTATTTATGATTTTTTTCTAACAAAATATGAAAGTAGCTATTTTTTTTAGATTTACAATTTTAACTATTTTTTTATTTATAATTTTTTTCTAATAAAATATGAAAGTAGCTATTTTTTTAGATTTACAATTTTAACTATTTTTTTATTTATAATTTTTTTCTAATAAAATATGATTTTTTTACAATTTTAACTATTTTTTTATTTATAATTTTTTCTAATAAAATATGAAAGTAGCTATTTTTTTTTTTAACTAGATTTACAATTTTAACTATTTTTTTTATTTATAATTTTTTTTTATAATTTTTTTCTAAAAATATGAAAGTAGCTATTTTTTTTTAGATTTACAATTTTAACTATTTTTTTATTTTTTTTCTATAAAATTTTTTTTTTAGATTTACAATTTTAACTAATAAAATATGAAAGTAGCTATTTTTTAGATTTACAATTTTAACTATTTTTTTATTTATAATTTTTTTCTAATAAAATATGAAAGTAGCTACTTTTTAAATTTACATTATACGTATATTATTTTATATAAAATTTAAACTACCGTAAAATCCGGTGTATAACGCGCACCCATACTTTAGAGCTGCAATTTTTAATTTTGAGATACATTCGCCGTATAACGCACCCCCATTTTCCCCCGAAGAGACTTGACATGTGTGTATGTTAGTGTTTCTGAAACTGTGGGGCGCTCCCCCCTGGGGGTGCGATAACCTTACGAGGGGGGCCCGAGCACATCGAAAATAAAAGATTTAAAAAAATTTAATTTACTGGAATGAATTAAAACAAAATGCTTTCAGACATAAAAAAAAATACACTTTTACTCTGATATAATTTATAGGGGCGCGCACGCGATATTAAGTCATCAAAAATAAAAACTTCTTCAATACCTAATTAGCTATCTTTGATCCTATAACCAAACAAAAAATTTTTATTTGATTTGCTGTAATCCCATGATGAGAGATTTTTTATTAAGCTACCTTTTTAATCGTAACATACTACTCATTCAGAGAAAAAACAGATGCCGGACTCAGAATCGAAAAAATTTAGGAACATAAAAAATTCATCACTGTCGTTATTTTTGAAATACTGCACATTATAGCTGTAATCTGTTTAACCTTCTAAGTTATTGGTACAGTTAGTTATGACTCCTTTCTTGTGTGTTTGAATCTCATTTAGGGAAGTTCCAAGTGATGTATTTCTCTGTTGCACTTTTTTCCATGAAAAGAGTTTTATGATATTTGGAAAACTACGGAGAGTATATGTATATAAATATATTTAAGAGTATTCTAAAATATATAAAGCACAACCAAAAACGTTTTACAAAATTTTTTACTAGTAACATATATATTATCATAATGAACTAAATCACTTTTTACCCGGAAGTGGTCACGCGGGACGCACAGATTACGAAATCATTAATTCTGGCAAAACTGTTTATTTGTTACCAAAGAAAAATTGAAAAGTCCTTGAAAGTATGTAAAGTATATTTTCTCAATAATTAAATTATTCACTGGAATTACGATTTTTATTGTGTACTATAAAAATAATTATAAAAAAAGGATTAGGGTGACTCACACAATAACCCCGCTGGACCATTAGTATCGAGTGCGCGCCTGTTCCAGGGTTAAAACATGTTGAAGTCTTTTCGCTTTAAATATTAAAAATAATACAATTATTCTTCATCTGAATTTTATATTATTGTTCATTATTCAACATTAATTCTAAATGATAATTCTGTAAGGCTTAAATTATAGTTCGCTTTAAACTAATTATACTTTGAGCAATCATTTAAAAAAAAATCATTTTACATTTTTGTAAACATTGTCGCGCAATTGGCTTTACTCTCCTTACAAAATTCAGCGATTATTTCAATAATGTTTTATTTTCTTATAAATGAACTCGTGCAAGCGGGTACTTCAGCCGGTATACTTTTAATGTATCAGTGATCCATAGTAGTTTATAACTAATTAATTAATACTAAATTAAGAACAAGTTTAATATGTATTAATGACTTCCATGGGCTTGTCTTGCAAAGCAAAGTTTTTATAAGGAATGCTTATGATTAGAAATTGACCATCTGAGTTCTTTTTCTACATTTAGCAGATATCTATATTTTGTCTTCTAAGCAGCCACCGCATTTTGCAATATGTTCAATTTAAAAATTAGAGAAAGGAAAAATAACACACATAATAATTATCCTATTATTTTATTTATTTATTACTCAGTTGTATACAAAATTTAATACTTATGTTGCTGATTTGTATGGTTTATAATTAAGATCGTCTATTGTAGCTTTAGCATCAAAGTTCATTATTATTGCATTCAGTACATTATTAATGTATAAGGGGGGGGGCGCGATAAAAATTGTGATCGAAAAGGGAAGCGCCAGTATTGAAAGTTTGAGAAGCACTGGCGTATGCTTTAAGGTAATTTATTCGAGGAATTATTGTAAGCTATTGAAAAGATAGTATACTTCCAGAAATACAACCCTAAAAGTTCATAAGAAATGTCATTTCTTTCAGAAAAACTGTATTTTGATATATGTAGAACTCTAATTTTTTTCTATGCTCATCTTTTTTCATTTTTCAAGCTCTCATTTTTCGAACCCGGCGTATAACGTGCACCTGTAAATTTCGATCTTGTTTTTTGTGTTAAAAATGCGCGTAATGCGCCGGATTTTACGGTATATATAAATAAGCTTTCTCCTTCATACATTAAATCTAAACGAATAACCTTGTTAAAGACTTATTGTTGCAAGTACTGTATTTATGATCCTTATCGTTTCTTATTGGATTTGATGGCTTTATAAACAAGCAAGATGCATCCATTGGTGATTTTTTTCTCTAATTTAAACACCTTCATTCCCCTATTATGTTTCTAAAAATCTTTTCTTACGTTTACAGAGTTTTGTCTAGATCACACAGATCCATGCTGTTTTTCAATTACTACTATTAGTTCACTTTCTCCCTATATATATGTGTGTGTGTGTATCTTGTTAAAATTTTCAATCATTAATAAAATATTTTCTATTCACCCATTCAAGTTAAAATATATTTTTTTAAACTTATAGTGGATGTCACTTGACGTTAATACAGCTTTTTCAAGTATTAATTCATTAATTAAATTTAAAAATGAATAAATAGTAACAAACACAAAAAATATTCCAGCAGCATATATAGGAAGAAAAGTCGTTCACTGTGTCCCTGTAGCGTAATGAACAGCGCGTTGAACTTCTAATACAAACGTCTTGGGCTCGAATCACACGTGGGATGGCCTAATTTCTGAGAAGGCGATCTCTCTTTTTTTCTGTACTATTTTATTAGAATAAATAAATTTACTTTTTGAATAAATAGTAACAAATAAAAAAACATGCATGGAGAGAGAGAGAGAAAGGAAAATGGAAAATTGCAAGAAAAATCGCTTTCTAATTTGTTATTTAATATTGTAATTCTATCATATGTGTATGCATATTTATATTAATTGTAACTATTTAATAAAAAGTAACTATAAAATAAATTTTTTCCTTGTTGACCTAAGAAGGAATTGACTTAATTTTTTTGTTACTTGTTTTTCAAAGAAATTTGCATTAATAAGGGATATTTTACCCCAAATAACTTTTACGCTACTAAAACAAGTGTTCCGATTGAAAAGCCGAAATAAACATCTAAAGCAATTTCTCGTTAGAAATGTGTTGTTCGAGAAAAAATTTATATATACTACAATTTTTTTTTTTATTCAGAGTTATATAAATTGATTCCTCGTATTAAAATGGGATTTCAATACAAGTTTTGAAATTTGCACTGAATTTTCTGTTTCTGCTTTCTTAAATGCAAAAAAGCAAATATATTTGCTTAACAAAATTTCCAATTTCTCTCTTTTAAAAAAGATCGATCGTTTTTTTTTCGAAGGTAAGTTAAGTAGAAAGACAAGGTACAGAAATAAATTTTAACCATTTCCAAAGAACTTCTTACAACTGAAAATAACTGAAAGAAAAAGCTTTTCTCGTTTTTTAACGTTAAAAATTATTCACTGAAATGATGAACCTGTGTTTCCTTTTCCAAGTTTCTCTTATTACTGAGATAGTTGAAATGGAGATTTTTTCCTCAGTAAAAGAAGCAAACTACCGTCATACTTTGCCTGTTTATTCTCGATTGTAGGAAACACAGATATTTCATACTTTTCTTCTTAGATTGTGATGGTGGAGAAAAACAAAATAGATTATGTGCCAGGATTAAAGTTTGAAAAAATAAGAAATAACAGAGGACTTGTCTTACTCCGTAACCTCTTAGGTGCAATTTACCCATCTAACAAAGACAGGAAAAGAAAAACATACGCGGAAAAGAAACACCGAAAAATATTGTAAAAACGCGTATTCATAAGCAGTGCTTCTAGTCTAAAAATATACTGACCCATCTTTCTACCCGCCATTCTTGTCCTTTAAAAAGTAATCCACGATTAATAACATAAAAATCCTCTTTCTGTACCAAACTAAAGTATTTGAATTTATAAATTGCACAATTAAATGTATATGTTTTTAACAAATTTTAAAGTTTTTTTGTACCGCATAGATTTTTGCAAAAACGCCTTTCAAAACATTTCTAATATTTTTACGATCCCTTATAGAAAGGAACATTACAAAATTTTCGTATTGTAATGTTCGAAAGAATAACGGTTGTGCATTCTTGGTTAATTTAAATATTGAATTTATTTACGTCACAACTATTGAATATTATTTACTGAATTATGCATTGAAGTTATTAAACTTAATTAAAGATTGTTAGAGTTCAATATTTTGTGAGTTGAGGAATCGTTTGGCCACCGCTCCCGAGTAAGCTCAAAGCATCTCTCCTTCATCTTCCGGTCGACGGAGTTCGATTCCTCGGGGTTTAAAAAAGGCGTTGCGAGATCGGCCACGCCGAAACATTACATCTGCAACTGCAAGATGCACGGTTGTCGGCTTCACCAAAGACGCCGATCCCCGTTGGGAGTTACGACGTTACAGTATGTATCCTTAAATATTGCTGGGAGCGTTTTATGAGGACTATAAACAGTTACATTACACAGATAAAAAAATCACCTTGAATTACTAAGTTTACAAATATATCAGTGTGCGCATAAACACACTAAAGTACTGGACAGTAGATTCATAGTACTGGAGGGAGATGAATGTGTGTAGTACACTTGCTTGTGGTCTAAATTGCATCCCCCCTTTATACATTTGGATTCCCACAAATATTTTTGAAGTACCACTTTTAAAAAAATGACTATGCTTGGTAATATTACCAGTTTTTATTTGACGCGTGAATTTTCATTGGGTCTGGGGATTTGTATTTCCCATTGCAGACCTTGTACACTCATCGGAAGCTTATATCACTAGTTAGTGAGGCACCATATAGGTGTACTACCGATCACCACAACGTAATTTTGACGCCGATTTTTCTCCCCAGAGGGAGGCACTTGAGCTCTTTAAATGCGAAATGGCCCTTGAAATTGTAATTTCACCAAGAACACCCAAGCCAAACGCTGGCTTAACATAAAATATAGAAATGTAATTAATTCACTATTTTGCTCACTGAGTTATTTTAACTTATTCTTTTTGTTTGTTGGAATCGGTAAGATATATATATTTTTTAAAGAATCTAATGATAAATAAGTAGGCAGAAAATATCACAAGTCACAAAAATGATATTCTTTCTAAAAGCATTTTATTTGTTTAATATAAAATTATCGTTTCACGAACTATTAATATAATTGGTTGGTTGTTTTACTCTTAGCACAAATTCTAAGAATTATAATTTAAACTCAAATAAAACGCTGAAATTCTGATAATTTTCTATCTCATGCATCCGTTGTCATTGATTAGAAATACATAAAATTTTAAAATCACAGTATATATATATATATTTAACAGTGTGTTTACCCAGAAGCATGCATTGTTAAATCCAAATATTCCATTCCTGAAATTATCTAATGGAAATCAACACGGTTCTAGGTGTCGTACCCATAAAAAAATCACAAACGCAAAGATAAACTAATCTCAACTTAATAATCTTACTGATTAATCGGAAAAATAAGAATTTATGGTGGCGAGATCATTTCACGCGACTAAACTATGTTAAGCAAAAAAATTTTATGTGTCAGAAAACAGGATGCGGACTTACTGGAACAATAAACACGAATACACACACTTTAAATCTGAAACTTGAAAAAAAACATCTAAAACAGTAGTTCTTAAAATGTGGTCCGCGAACCCCTTGGCTTCCGCAGTGCCTTTCCAGGGAGTCAGCGAAAATATCTCACTTAATGTTAAAATGTCCCTTTTTTACAGATTCTAAAAACTCTTGTGGAAAAGTTGAAAGATGTGCCATCCTAACTACAGATCACAAAATTGCCGCAAGGAAAAAACTCTACTAGAACATAACATAGTAATTCAGTATTTTTATGTGATTTGCAACTATATATACCATTACTTCAACCAGTAACGCAGCACATAAAAATTTTTCAAGATCTCCAGGGTCGAAAGTCCACCATTTTGCTATTAGGCTCCAATACGTCACTCAACATATTCTTTTGATTTATCAATGTTTGGGAACAAAAAGAATACAAAATTAATTATTGAATAAATAATTAGCATTAATTAAGAATATTAATTATTAATAACAAATACATAATTAAATTTTACGTAATATATGCATAGATTATAATCAATCTAAAAAAATCAAGGGCTATGGGGGAGGGGTAGTCCAGACCCCTAGGACTCCCCCTTGTGTGTGTCACTGACTTCAACGTATTATGCTTAACAAATTGTAGAAACACGTGCAAAGTTCATAGCGTGCAAATGCGGTAAGGATTGCATCCTTCTTATAGAGCAGAACTGGAAATTAGATTACAGATTTCAAATATTACATCTGATATGACAGAACTTGTAAAAGAAATGCTGCACCAACCTTCTCATTAAAATTTTTTATTAATGCCGTTTAGTACATTATTTATTTTAAACTAATATTTTATAATATTTTATTAGATGTTTACTTTTTTCTAAAGTATAAAAAATAAGTGTTAAAAAAAGTCCAGATAAGTAGCAGAGGGGCAATCTTAGGATTTTTGAGGAACTTTTAAATCACGAAGCCATGTGCTGAAAGTCGGGGAGGGGTGTTCAAAATCTTGAGGGACTGCGATGTCAGGCTAATACATACAGGGGGACCACGGCAATCTAAAGTTTAAGAACCACTGATCTGAACACTTGAACTTGGTTGAAATAAGTACGAATTTTTGGCTAACTATCACAGACTTTTCAAAATAATTTAATTTTATACTTTAATTTGTGTGATATCCTTCATCTCATTATATATAACATTTTTTCTGAAAGAAGACGGCAGTTAAAATTTGCTCTAATATCAAAGAAAACCCCAGAGTAGATTCAAGAGAGAAACCTCCCGAGGTAGCCCGTCACAAGTTTGTCATCAAACATTCCCACATAGGGTTTTTACTTAATTAAAAAATATTTTATAATTTTACAGGAAAATTATACCACAGTAACAATACCTTTTTGTCAGGTTCTAGGAAATTTTTCAAGCAACTCAAATATTGTCTCTTTATAATCAAGTTCTGACAAAGTTAATTATTTAAGCATAATTTTTTGGGATGTTTGAAAAAAGTTTACATAAAGCTCATGAGCCTTGTACATAATATATTCAATAATTTAATTACACATTCTATTTGCTTGTCTTGTTTTTTAAAAAATTGAATTTGAAATGCTTTTGTTGATTACCACATTAAAATAAAAAAAAATTGAAATGTTGAGCCTGTCAGTATAAACTTGCGATTTATTTTTCAATCACAAAATGAGAATTTAAACATTCGTCCTTGTTTTATATATATTGTACAAATAATTTGCCCATTTAAAATATATTTGATTAAACTGAGATACTTTAAAGTTATTTAATGCATTTTACGTATTATTTAGCCACAGTATTCAAAAATTAAGATCTTGAAATATTCTTCTTAAATTTTAAAACATTTTATAACTTTTACCTTCTTTATTACTATGATTATGATATTTTTTAAAAAAATTATTCAATAATATTATTCAATAGTATTATATGATAACAGGATATAAAGACATAGTTATAGTTTCCATTCTGGACATAAATATTTTTTTTATCTTCTATTAAAAAAAACTTATTTTATCATTACTATTTTAAAACAGTAGTGCATTGGAGGTTTTCTCCTAGAAGACGATAATACTCGTATAATAATACACATAACTTTA